ATTTTTCCTTACGTTTGATTGAGGTCTGACATAGAGAAAGGTCATCACCGTTTGAGTAAACTTTGAACTGTCCCGGAATCAAAAGTTACGTTCTCAATAAGTCGTTCGGATGTTTTGAATGAAATTTTTTTGTCGGTGGGATATTATGAGTGTCTTCCACTTTCGCCCCCGAGACTTAATTGATAGATAGTTGCTAAATTTTCTCCTTTATCTCATCTTGATAAACAGGGGCGACTTTCCAAACGTTGATTTCGTGACTGATAACCACGTCTGCCACAACCTTTTAAAAGGGGAGGTAAGGTTAACTCCCAGTTTCACTTTCCCACCCTCTGTAAGATAGATACCGAAAGTGGAGAAAGTGACCTGGAGTGGGTAGGAACTATAGTCCCTCATGGTTTCTGAAATCATTGTTCTTATGAAGAATCTTATGTTGCAAATGATGATGGTATAAGATGCACAAATTAGAAGGTCATGCAGCTAAAAAAAAAACTTGCATTAGAACGAACTGCTTCTGAAGGAACAAATGGTTTAACTAACCAAATGACACCACATAAAACAGGGCTGTGACATTTTTAAAGATCAATTTCGTTTGTCCGAAATAGATGAATAGATTCTGGAGATGAACGATCCAAGCTTCCCAGTCCCTGTATTTCTTTTCCTTCCTTCTCCTGGCACCCACAGTCTCCAGCATGACCAGCCGCGGTTCCATGTGCGATTTTTCCTTCTAAATCGAAGCCACGAGTTGAAAAATGTTTAAGCGGCTCTATTGGGCATATATCAGAATCCGTCTTAAACAGGGAGGGCTAGTGAAACTGGGAGTTGACCTTGCCTCCCCTTCTTAAAGATTGAAGTAGGTATGGCTATCAGTCATGAAAATCAGGCGTGGAAAGTCGCCCCTGTGTACTTTCGCTCCAACCGTGTGTAGATCAAAGATTAAATTGCACCTTGTGATTCTTGTCACTCGGAATGCAGGGGGGGGGGGGGGGGGAGACTCCACTGGGGCGAACGTGGAAGTAATCATATTATGTCGGAGTTTTTCGATAAGGAAACAGTGACTTATTGAATGCAATGCATTCTTCATGGACGAAAACGTGTTTCGATTTGCTGAAAGGACGACTCTGGTGACTTCTTGCGTAGTTTTCTTAGAATCATTGATATGTGAATAATGTATCGCTCCTAATGCGCAGTAATCTTGCATAGTTTTAGTAGAATAACGGATGCGAAACATGTGTCACTCCTAAAACGCTATAATAAAAAAAAGGACCAGAGAGGGTAAGTGGGTTGGTGTATAACCCCTTTTATATTCATACTTGATGGGACTTGGCTTTTCCTCTCATTCGAAATTTGCTCATTGACAATTAATCTTAAACCCTCTAACTCTGATGCTAATCTCTCAAATGCAAAAGCATGGGCGTCCGCTGGTTTATTCCCAGGGGGGGGGGGGGGGGGGGGGGGGAGGGGGGATTCGTCAGGGTTCTATTTCAGAGAAGGTGAAAAGGGAAATATGGCTTGGGGTGTCTCGGGTGTCTTCCTTCCTTTGGATAGACTCCAGGTTGGACTGCTGGAGATTGCGGGATGGGAGAGGAGGGGAGGGGGAGAGGGGGGGGGG